TAGGCCCAGAGTGGCTGGGGGTGTTCCAGGACCCCGGTCATTCCAGGCCTAGCGTGGGCCTACAGGCTCAGAGCGGCCTGGCTCCCGAGGACACCTGTCCCCAGAACCCAGGCTGCTTGGTGCTGGCATGTGCTCAAGTGACCACCCCACCCTAGGCCACTTGGTGCCTGCGTGTGCAAATCAACCTGCCATCTTTGGAGGGTTAATTTGCATACTCACTCCTGATTGGCTGGTGGGCATCACGGAGGGACAGTCAATTTGCATCTTTCTCTTTTATTAGTGTAGATTCCTGGGCCATACAAAATTATCAACTTAAAAATTAACCTGCTATATTTGGTCAAATATTTGACTCACCCCTAATGCCTTGGCAGGGCCAGACCAAAAGATTTTAAGGCTCTTGGGTTGTGGGCTCGATCTCCACCCCTGTCCTAATGGGTAGCTAGTTCTACAGCAGTAGAAATGGAAGGTTATTATGACCAGTGTTGAGTTATTAGTTTTGTGATACTATCTTATTTTCTTCTACCATTTTCCACTTAGGATAAAGTGTCAGAAGGTCTTGCAGTTTCTTGTACTTACAATAAAATTTCATATGGAGAGGAGGCTTGAATTGGGTACAGTGTGAATCTATATATATAATCTATAATAATAAAAGAGTAATATTATAATTAGACCAGATGTCCTACTAGACGTCATTCCGGACAAAGCCAGGGCCGGAGAGAAGCCAGCCTGTGTCCTGGGTGCCTGCGGGCGGCCGGAGGGAAGCCAGCCTATGTCCCAGGTGCCAGAGGGAAGCCGGTGCTGGCAGCCAGGGGAAGGAAAATTAACCTGCTATATTTGGTCAAATATTTGACTAACCCCTAATGCCTTGGCAGGGCCAGACCAAAAGATTTTAAGGCTCTTGGGCTGGATGTTCCCCACCCCTGTCCTAACAGGTAGTTAGTTCGGCTGTGGTTGGGAGGGCTGCAGATCTGGGGGCCTGCAGATCAGGGGGCTGTGGCACTGGGGACCCCAGCTGCAAACCCAGAGCCTGGCCTCAGGGCTGCAGCTGTGGCTGCTCTGCCCAGCGGGGAGCCCCACAATCTGCCCTCACAGACTCAGGAAAACCAACAGGTCTGTGGGGACGGCCAGGAAGAGGCCTCGACTGGCACCCTTTACTCTGTGAAGAGGGCCCCGTGGATGGGAGTTGGGGGCCAGACTGTGACCAGCGATCATTGTTTGAAGAAGGAGCCTTATGGACTAGGGGAGCTACAGATCAGGGGGGCTGTGGTTGGGAGGGCTGCAGATCTGGGGGCCTGCAGATCAGGGGGCTGTGGCACTGGGGACCCCAGCTGCAAAAGAAATGGAAGGTTATTATGACCAGTGTTGAGTTATTAGTTTTGTGATACTATCTTATTTTCTTCTACCATTTTCCACTTAGGATAAAGTGTCAGAAGGTCTTGCAG